GAAGCGAGATTTACAGTCTCAAATTGAAAATGCACTTATAAAGATTGATGCATCGGTACATAAATATCAAGCCCAAGGTAGTGGATGGATATATGAACATACTAAATATTGGCAGCTGCATGTTTATAAGTATAAGCCCCTAACTCCAAAGTCATATATCCCCACACCAAAAAGTATTAAGTTGACAAAAGCAGTTCTAAATATAAAAACATAGATAATAAATGTTTCATTTGGTCGATATTAGCAGCTTTATATCCAAGGAATTGTATCAATGAACATGCTAATAGAGTCTCTAATTATGTACCCTATGAAAGTCAGTTAAATATGACAAATATAAAATATCCCGTAAAAATATCTGATATTGATAAATTTGAAACACAAAATAATATAAGTGTTAATGTATTTGGAGTTGAAGACCAGAAATGTGTATATCCATTAAGAACAACCAAACTGAATAGTAATACTCATGTAGATTTATTATTATTACAAGAAGGTCGTAAATCACATTATTGTTTAATTCGTGATTTTGATAAGTTAATGTTCCACTGTACAAAAGATAACAATAAGAAGCATTTTTGCAAGCTGTGTTTGCAACATTTTTACACTAATGATATATTAGAACGTCATACAATATATTGTAAAAACTTTGATGCCCAACGAGTGGAAATGTCTAAACAAGATACATTACAATTTAAAAATTATAAATATCAACTTAAAGCCCCATTTGTGCCAAGATATAAGGTAGGTGATAGCGTGAGAATTTCCAAGTATAAACATGTTTTTAGTAAAGGTTATACTCCGAATTGGACAGGGGAACTATTTACAATAGCAGAAGTAAAGAATACAAAGCCTGTGACTTATATCTTGAAAGATGAAAATGGTAATATAATCAGGGGAGGCTTCTATACAGAGGAGTTGTTAAAGACCAAGTATAAAGACATGTATTTAGTAGAAAAGGTAATTAGGAGAAAGGGTGATTTATTGTATGTCAAATGGCTTGGGTTCCCAAGTAGCCAGAACTCATGGATTTCCACTAAGGATGTCCAAGGGAGCGCGCCATGAGCCGGGAGCGCGCCCGAGTTCGCATACAAACCTCGCTCGATTTTGAGAATATACATGTGAATGGGTGTTGGAGATGGATTTGAAATTATACAATATAGATATGGAGTTGTACATTTATATAGGCTTGTATAGGCCCAAGAGCAAGTTTAAGAGGTATATCCCAAAAGACAAAGAAATGAAAATATTAAACAACTCATACGACTAATATATATAGATAAGACAGAAATATAGACAACAATATATCAACATATCAACTAGAAAGGGGAATGGTAGATGTACTAGCAATTAGGCATGGGCGGGGAGTTAGCCCAAAAATGTCGATGCGCAAAAAACGGCACCGACAAACTATACTACTCATGAAAAATACAGTCTCGTTTTAGTTTTATTTTTACTCTTGTTTTACAAGTGGATAGCCTTATATAAGTTTGTCTTTCAATTTATACAGTTTGACCAAATTCTTTTATGAATAATTTGAAATCATTATTCCCATAACTTCTTAGGCTGTAAAGGTTTTTAAAATATTGGATATAGATATTATTTCGTTACTCTATCATAGATATCAACGATCATGAATATTAAAATATATTATTATGAATATTAGTTATCATGAATATTAACGAGGGTTTTACATTTCGTGAATATGAAGCACAGTTACAGAGTAATAAAAGTCAATGGTGTACGAACAATTGAGGAAGCCTTGTAGACATAAAACCAAAGAACCTTCAACCGAAATTGGCAAGCTGTTGCCATTGTTCTGCGGAGATAAGGGCGTGTTTATTGTGGACATTCTGCTGAAACACCTCACTCACACGCACATCTGTAACATGACTTACGCACGCACACTTGCAGTTCTTTGATATTTACGTGTTTAAAACTATTAGAATAGTCTGTTATAGGACGAGACGTCTTTAGTCTTATCATCTTTAACTATGGCCGTAAGCTCAGTATTTAGAATTGAAAAGATTCACTCAACAGCATTGATTACTTACTTAACAGCATTGTTGTTTTACTTTACAACACGGGTAACGGACCAATGAGGATCAAGGATTGAGAGAGAAGAAGTAAAATTGCAATGCTTCGAACTTAAACTTATCAGCTGTTCAGACCAATTGAATTGTAATTTAACAATCTAATTTGACCAATCTAATCGTGGGGCAAAATTAGTGGTAGTACAATGATTCGTTGCATCACTGTCAGTGGCAATGAGAGGTTATACAAGAAAATATAACCTCTCTAAGAAGTTAAGAGTTGTGATCGTTAGTAATTTAAAATAACTGTCGTAGGGAAAGAAGTGTACGCAACTCACGTAAATAGTCTGAACGACAATATTGCTGACTATTAATATTTACGCGATCGTTGCGTAAACTACCATTACTGTCAAATCTTAAAATTGAGCTTTTTTCAGGTTACAATAAAATGCGATGGTGTCCACCAAGTGTTTCTCTTTGGTTGAAGCTCATTACACAATGAAGTGTTACTCTTTAATTCTAAAAGACAAGAATCATCTTAGAAATTTATTGTTGTACAGTATTTGTTATCAATGATATCAAAACTAAGGATAATATAAAAGATTGTCAGGAGTATAGTTTGAGACAGACCCCCCCCCCACAGCTATTGGTGGATCTAGCTGTTTCTCAAAAGATTTTCAAATAGATGTTGGTTTATATGTTTTTGAAACCAATGTTCCTCTCTGGTTGGAGCTAATTTTACAATGTTCTTGATACTATTATTTTCTAAAAGGTAAGAATCAGCTTACAAAAATACTAATAAATTTCCTATCAATGTCCCCCTTGGAAATATACATACTATAATAAAGGTCTTTACACTACTTTTAATTTTCATTTAAACTTCGATTTAAATCCCGGTAATTAGATATATAGTCAGTGTTTCTTGAAAATAATATACTTTGTTGGAATTTTATATTTATAGGTGCTTTGAAAACACGGAGTGATCCATACACGTTATAGTTACTATATATCTTAGTGGAAATCAACCAACAATTAGTGTTTCGGTTGGATCACTTTTCACAAATAATCGAAAGTATATCTACTTTTGGTTTTCGAAATACGCAACAGACAGTAAATCTTGCCCCATTAAAACATCACCCTGTGCAGTGTGCAAGTTTTGAATGTTATTTTTAAAAGGCTAAACAAGTTCTAAGAGTTGTTACAAGCGGCTCATAAAACTTGAACAACAGACATCGACTGCATTGCGCTTGGGCCATTACCTGCACGGAGGAGGCAGGGATGTATTTTTACATTAAGGACTTTATCCTGTATACAGGCTTGTAACAGTATATTGCATAGACTATGAATCCTGGCAGGCTTATCTTTATAACCGTAGTACAAAGAGTTTATGTGTTGAGTGTGTCATTTGAAGATAATTAATTATCCTGGTAATTCAAAGCATTATGGGACTTGGCTTCTTGTTTAATTCCGCCTGGCAACAAAAAACCCGTTCTGACTCTACGGCTTTTACTCCGTGACATGCAATCCAATTTTTAAGTACGAAAAAAAAATAATTTAATAAAAAGTAGGGGTTAATTAGTTTTTTTTTACCTTTTTGGTTAATTTTCAAACTGATAAAGGAATCAAAAGAATATTACTTAAGTAAACTAATGTATGAATCAACGATTTTAAATATTTTATGAGTCCTCTAGTCTGTTTTATTTACTGACATGTTTCAGTGGTATTTGACTACTCGTAGATGTGTGTTGATGTGAAATGTACAATTTGTGGCTGATAAAACTCAATCATGATTAGGAGATTGGGGATTTTGATAAGTTTACTAAATTTATTTATTTATTTATTTCATACGGAAACACCATTATTACAATGATATACATTGGCAGATTGCACTGTTTTGCATGACAATATAATAACAATAACACAATGATTGTAAAAAAAACCATTATGCAGTAATAACAAGAATAGCAACAACAAACATAACGAGAATCAACAAGAACAAGAACAATGAGGTGACATTTTAACTAGGTACTTATGCAGATGCAAGAAATTATTTTGGCAACAGCTTAATTTAAGATGGTAATATGCAATAACAATAATAGAGTGGCAAAATATAAATAACAACATATAAATAACAGCTTATACTTATGCTTATACTTAGCTAATACTTATGCAACATGACGACAAGGAAGCTACAAAGACACATAACAATGATAAATAGGGAACATAAGCGTGTAAAAACATGATGGTGAAATTTGAAAAAAAGCTACGATCACTGATGAGATAGGCAATTGCAGTGGTGAAGGATAATATGCATATTCCACTCAAAAACATCTTGTGTGGCCCTTTAAAGGCACCACCTAACTCTCCACTGACACTATACCAGTTAAACACGTTCTAAATGAAGATGGGGAGCCGTGGAAGAAGTCTACCCTGGAAGCCACCTCGCTGCCACTCCTGAGAAGCCTGGAAATACCACTGTTGAGGGCATAGCTTGTAGGTATGTAGCATCTTTGGAATGTTGAACATGAGCGCGTCCCACGGGGTACAGTGAAGTCTATGTCCGCAAGTAGGCTGGGGCAGTCAATATAAACATTTACAAGCTTGAAGAGAAAATGGAGGTCACTGACCTTTCTCCTCCAAAGAAGTGGTTGAAGTCCAAAAGCTTTTTTCACCTCAGATGTGGGTGTTTCAAAATATGGATAGTTCAGTCTTACTCCAAGCATCCTCACAAAGTGCAATTGAATTCTTTCAAGCTTTTGAATGTCTCCAAGTTGGTACGGTGCCCAGATTACAACGCCATACTCAACGACCGGTCGTACAAGTGTCTTGTAGAGTGTGACAAGAGTTAGTGGCGACTTAAGCTCTTTAGCTGTTCTAAATACAAACCCTAGCAGTGAGCTGGCCTTAGAAGTTGTGTGATCAATGTGTGGACGAGGGTCTAGGGAGGATTCCATAATGATTCCAAGGTCTCTAATCTTGTCGACTCTTCCTAGAACACTGAATTTCACACTGAACATTCAATTTAAAGCCTGCAATTTCATGGTCAAAGCTGAGCCCGGCAGTAAGACCTCTCTTGAATGACATAGCACTGCACTTGGTAATGTTGAGATCCATGGCATTTGCTTCACACCAATCTGCGATGTTATTCAGGCAATGTTGAAGATTCAGCTGATCCTCCAATGACTGCACACCAGCAAACACCTTCATATCATCGGCGAACATCAGGAACTTGGAGCTGATTACACTTTTTATATCATTCTCGAAGAGATTAAACAGTAATGGGCCCAAGTGAGACCCCTGTGGCACACCAGATACTGCAGGGAAAGGAGATGAAGTGGCACCATCAAACTTAGTAATAAGGCTTCTATCACAGAGAAAATTCTTTGTAGAAAATTAAGAAGAGTGCCTGAAATTCCGTAACCTTTGAGTTTAGCGACAAGGAGCCGATGATTGATTCTGTCGAATGCCTTGGAATAGTCGAGATAAATACAGTCAACTTGTAAAAGAAGACATAAAAGAAGGTGGTAAAAGAAGATATAACAAATTCTTGAAGCAGCAAAAGGTTTGTGACAGTAGAACGTCCCCTGGTAAATCCATGTTGTTCATCACAAATACAGTTTTTAAGTTGAAAAATTAGATTATCCAGAACCAGACTTTCGAAAAGCTTTGCCACGGAAATTGTCATGCTGAATATCACGGATTTAGTTACTGAACACATTTTACTTGTGTAAAAGTAACATCCAATAATTGAATAATTAAAATTGCATAATCTTGGATAGAACACATTTTCCTACTACAGTACTTTAATTACTTTTAGTAATATTTAACCTTTAAATTTTTTAATAATCAACAGTGTCACAGTTATTTTGTGGAGATTATTTTCTATGGTTTATTAACTATAACAGTCAAAAGAAAACTTTTAAAAAGATGTTTGGGATAAAAAGAGAATTATTTTTAACATTTTGCTTTAAGTTAGAGAAAATATGCAGTTGTCTTAAAATTGTAAAGCTTTCGAGAGAGGAGTCTCTAAACTAATTTGAAATCCATATAAGGTTATCTGCTAAAATTTCAAAATATTCAAGGAATGTTCTCAACCGATTAGTGTAATCGAGCATCTACTATATAGTTCATAGTTTAAAAAAATAAAATTGTCACATCATGATATGAAAATTTAGCTATGAACCCATTTAAGGTAATAGACAAACTTAGAGTTTTAATAGGCAAATATATTAGCAAACGAAGTATTCCTACAACTCGGAATGTTTACCAATATACTACATTGTATGCATCAACTTGTAATGTCCAGGAAACAGTTAATCTTAGCTTCTAAATCGTAGCACTAAAACTTTATACATACATTAACTAAACTAATTTCCATTCTAGCCTGGAATAGTGTTGTGTTGGACATTCCCAATTAAAATGAACAAAATGTATAAATTCAATGATCCTGTCAAATTTATACTTTGATTTCAGCAATATTTGTTCAGTAAGTAACGGCCAATTAACTATCCTTTCACTGTAAACAAACAAATAACACCTTACCAACAATAAACCAATCCCAAAAATTATACGTGTGGTTTTTTATTGACAATTAGGATACTGAAGTTGCATCAATAGTGAAAGGTTTTGTCAATAAATCTTGATGTTTCAATATTTAGCGTATACATTTTTTAAGCTTTGAAGAGTCATTTCCCAAGCATAGCACTTGAAAGTAGTAAATGTTACTGGTCAATTGTTTACTTCAAAACTTTACAACGGATAAACCATCACAATGCAAACTGTGTTTATTTATTCAACACATTTGCAATGTTAATGTCCCAGGCTCCACACCCTTCATGTGGCGACAGTGTCATATGAATAAGTAAAATGTAATATAAATTTACATGGTTCATTAAGCTAAACGTTAAAGTAGTCCCTTGAAAAATAATAAATCATTTGTAAATTGGTAGTGGCACATACTATTATATTTAATTAATTTGAAATAAAGTAAAATATATAAAATATTACAACCCAAATTAGTTAACCGTTCCAATAGGCTTAGTATGACATCCTTTCTTGCCGGATTAATTTTACAGGTTCATACATACGTTAGGTTTATTGCCACATAAATGTACATGAATGTCACTTTGTAAAAAAGTAAAACTTACTACATTCATAATCCTCCGAAAACCGCGTCAAAACAATACTTACACTATTTATATTATTTGCAACCATGCCTATAGAAAAAAGTAAAATTCAATTTTAATATTAAACAAGCTGTTACCCACGAACCTCACCCCGTTTGACTTCATAAGTATTAATATAATTAAGTTAAGCCGAAATAAACAAACCAGAATACATTAATACAAACAAATAATCACACCTGATTTTAATAAGGTAATAAATTGGAAGAATCATCTGTTAAAAATAAAACTAAGACTCGTCTCTTATTATTTTTTGACCACTTACTAATTACGTCACATTTAAAGGCCAATAAGGCTGCAACTAAAACATACCATACTGGATGGACATATATTTTACGTTCTTTAACTAAACTATTAACTCCACAATTATTTTATCTAAGGAAAAATGTCTGCCATGAAAGATAAGAGGCATGTTTATAATCTGTATTCATGTAAAATCACTAAACTGTTTGAAATTACATTTGATAGGTTGGTAAACAAATGAAAATGGTTGCAATTCACTTACGAAAATTAAAAACTAATGCAAGAACTGTCAAGTAATGATGAAGATTTATGGTGAAAGTGTGCACATTAGTTAATGGTCTGCAGACCATCTGGTCACATTGTCACTTGGTGATAAATTATCTTAACTGAACGGCAAAGAAACTAACCGAGAACTTAGCGAAATTATATACGAGATATACCTTGCTTAAAATATAATACAATGTATATGGTGTATAAGCTATTTCTCGAAACAGATACTGTAGTCTGTATGGTGGACCTTGAATAAGCTTGAAGCAAAATTTCGTTTTAACAATTTAGATATTTTTAACGAACATTACAAGTTTACCCTGTGTTTCAATACGATAAATAATCACCCTAAATAAAGACTTAAATGCCATACCATTAAAGACCAAGTAAAGTCGTTGGTTTTTTTAAATGCGAAGAAATGTAGAAACGTTAAAGAGACAAAAATAAACCTTTTATAAGTCAGTCCATGTTGAAATACCTTTTAGAGAGATAACGAGGTATTTATGGGTCTCTGAGTTCTCGGCAACATGTGAACAAATGCAGGGAATGTGTCTGAACCCTTGCTCTGATTCTTTAAGTTACATACTGTACTATGCATAAGATAAAACAATGTAAGTTAATATTATACAATATTTCCACATTTTTCATTTGGTATATCTTTATGTAATTTGAATTTAAAATGAAATATAGTGTAAATATTAGTTTGTACACTGTAATCGCTAAGTGTTTTTCTTTCTTCGGTTACAATATATGTCCAGTAAAAAAAGAATTAGGTGTTTACTGATGGGGCGTGACAAATCTCAGTCGATTTTTGCCTCGTAGGTTAGCCTCCTCCATTCTTCTCTATCCTCCGCCATTCGGATTGTACCTCCACACTGGATCACATCCTTCTTGACTTGGTCATACTATCTTAATTTAGGCCTATCCAACGGGCGTCTTCCTGTAGGTACCGCCTCACAAACCTCCTTCAGTCTTGTGTCTTCCTGTCTCCGAAGTACATGAACTAACCAACTAATTCTTTTGGCTTTTATAAGCACTATTATATCACGCTCTTTGTATAGGGCACGTAGCTCTCTATTTTTCCAAATGCACCAAACTTCTTCTTTATAAACTGGGCCGAATATTTCTCAAAGTACCTTATTTTCAAACACCATCAAACGTCCTTCACTTATTTTGGAGAGGACCCATGTTTTACTTCTATACAATCTTGTAATATATTAATTTTGAGCATCTCGATAAAATTTGGACGATAAAGGTTTTGTACAAGTCCCCACGTTCTTATTGGCATTTGCTAGTTTACTTTGTATCTCTAGATCTTCAGAATTTGAACTATTGGTAACTCCTAAATATTTAAAGCTCTCCACACAATGTATTGAATAGTTGCAATGTTGAAATTTACATCTCTATTGTTAGCGTTTCGGCCAAAGTGAACAATTTTAGGCTTTTCTTCATTTAGCTCTAATCCTACTTTCTTACATCCTTTAATAAGATTGTCAACAAAGGTTTTCAGAGTTTTCTACTAAAATTGCAACATCATCTGCAAATGCCAGTATGTTTAATTCTACTCCCAGTTTAATGCCTCTTTGTAGGTTTTTTGTATTTTGTACGGCTTCTTCTACAGATATATTGAACTGAATAGTGTGGGAGGAATTCCATCTCCTTGTCTCATCCTTGGTTTTATGTGAAAACTTTCATATGTTTCTCCATATATTTTTACTTTGGATCTTGTCTCATTTATGCATTATGTGTTTTAAGGTTAAATTTAAAACAAATACGAGTTTCAAATTACATCCATGGAGTTGAAGCAGTTCATATCGATCGTCATTTCCACCCTACTGTTGGCCAAATATTAGCTTGCAGTGTTGATAGAGCTTATCAATCTGTCTTTACAAACGTGGAGGAAAACCATCCTAAATTTAGAATTTCCAAAAGTCATTGACAAAGTATCCGATTAACACAAATATGAAATGATTAATGTAAAAAATCGTCAAGGGGAATCTTTTAAAAAAATTTAATGATTTCATGCCTCGTCATATTTAATATAACTTTTGCATAGTATTTCCACATTATAAAATTAGACACATTATTGTGGTAATTAAATGTCGTCTGTTAATCTAATTTTCATCAATATCCAGTCACTCATACCTTTGAGTTTTAAAATCTGTCAAGTTTTAGAAGCTTTTTGAGTTAATAATTAACCTAAGTACTAATTGTTTTTAGTAAACCGTATACGATTTTAAGTCTTTATTGTACAATAATTTATTCTATCACTTGACTATTGCATGACTATCACCCTTTGATTACACGTTGCAGTATATTCAACAGAACACCTTTGCAGGACTTAAATAAAGCCTACACATCAAAGCTCAATAAAAGGACCTCGTGACTCCCTAAAGTCATAAACAACCTTGGTGTCAGGTTTATCACCAAAGGCTCTTCCACAAAACACATAACATAATAGAGTCTTTTAGGGCTGGTAATTCTCTCCTTCCCTTTGTCACTCTTGTGCTTTTTGTTTTCTGTTTCGAGACATGTAGACATTATGCTTAGTATTTAAGCAATGGTTGTGTTTTACCAAGAACTGTATAAAACCTAGATATTGACCCATTGGTTTGGCTAACCTACATATGCACCATTAAAAGATCAAAGTAAACAAACACTTAGGTAAAAAATGTGTTAAACAAAACCTTTCCTTGGAATGTGATATTTTGATATTTTTAACATGATTTTATTTCAGCTCACTAATGAAGTTAATAATTTTTTGGATCCTAACAATTGCTGGACGAAAACTATATCAGAATCTATAAGGGAATAAATGAAAAAAATTAATAAAATGAGTAATCGATGTATTGTACAAAATATGCATGTGTTATAAAAATTATTTCAAAACCACAACTAGATATTGCCTTTAATTAGGAAAGTAATAAAAAATACAAGATAAGATAGTTTAATAATAACAACAACCATTAATCTTTTAACTAACTTGTCGCAGAAATTTGTAAAAGTCACGTAACCTTGGACAATGCACGTTATGTTGTGATTTCAAACAGTTTCGTCGAATGAGAGTAAAGGGGATATTAAATTGTAAAAGAAAGATCAGATACCACAGACCAAGATCCACAGCCAGACTTGGCAAGCTGTTGCCAGTGTTCTGTAGAGATAAGGCCATATTTATCGTTAACAGTTTGGGCTTAAAGGCGACACATGTAGCCAACCGTGGAAGTTAGATTGTCCACTTTTTCCACCACGTTTATATCATTTTTACAGCTTTTTATTGAACAACGATTTAAGCAATAAAAAATTAATTTTAGTAGTATTAGTTTTTGATCAAAGTGAATTCCCTCTTAGAATGACACGACTCGGGAGCTACAGAGTTCTTAATTGATTCTTCTATTGTATTTATAAGGGCATTTTTAATTCAACTGAAAACAATTCTTCGTATCACTTCAGATCTGGCGAAAACCCAAGAGAAAATTGTATTACACTTTGAAACTACTTATAGAGAAACTAAATAATCTATTACCTTAATCTGGACTAAATCTGGAAGTTTCCTCTGAAAGGAGCGTTTTAATTTTAAGTTAGAAATCAAAAATTATTCTAACCACTGTAGAACAAGAAAATTTAAATTTATTTATTTTTACATTGCTATTTCTTAGAAATAAAACTGACGAATCATTAGTTTAAAAGTAGTTCAGTTCAAATATATATTTTACCTACGACCGTTTTTTAAAGTAGTCATTTCAGTCCAGTTCTTAGAATTGAAAAGTTTCACTTTACAGCTGTTTACTTTCATATCCGCATAGTTTCATTTCATATCCGCATAGTTTTCTCATATCCACACAGGTAACGGACCAATGAGGTTCAAGTATTGAGAGAAAAGAATTAAAATTGTAATGCTTCGAACGTCAACTAATCAGCTGATCAGCTGATCATTTGACCAATTTAATTGTTGATCCGACTTGTTCATGTTGATACTCGCGTATTCTTAATTAAGTTGGTGGAAGTCCAAAAATAAATGAAATATTTGCCGAATTGTACCTGATACAATATTATTTATGGTAAGAATGCTGCTAGCAATGTAATATTTAACGAAGTTTAACAAACACGTAATTACAGGAAATCAGCTGATTATACAACAAGTCGTTGCATCACTTTCAGTGGCAATGACAATACACGAAAACATAACCTCTCTAAAAAGTTATCAGTAGTGATTGTTAGTAATTAAATCCAGATTGATAGTAATTAAAAAACGGTCGTAGGTAAAGTAGTGTACGCAACTCGCGTTAATAGTCTTTACGCAATCGTTGCGTAAACTACTATTTTGCTAGCATTCCAAAAAGAATATAAACAAGAAATGTCTAAACAAGCAAACTAAACTAGCATAAACCGTTTGGAATTTACATTAGCTCAAGCTTTTGAGGGAAAATGTGAGTGCAAAGTGAAATTATTCAAGGATAAAATGACTTGACTCGACCGTGATGTGAATTTACGATCCGAGTGTGTACATTAGCCTAATGACTCCACGTACAGGGTGGGAACTTGCGATGTCGTCAGTCTGACATATATTGTGTTTTCTACATTGTTGTGTGTTTGAGTGGTTAACTTGAGTCCAAATAATCGTGTAGATATAGGCACTCGAGATAGAACAAATTCAAACAAAAAGTTTTTAAAACGGTTTTTGGTAGTAACAGTTGTAGTAAGTGCCAGAAAAAAGTCTGGTAGAGCTGTATTAATAAGTTTTAACAATGTTTAGTTGAGCAAAATGCACCATTATGTTTAGCAAATAAAAGCGCAAAGAGTGTGAACCACTCAACTCAAGTATAGGGATACATTTGTTCTGTTGAGATAAGGTCATATTTATGCAAACTCAAACTCAACAAAGCTACACATGCAAATGCCACAGGAAAACCAACAAAGCTAAGTGCTTTGGTTTAGTCGGTTGCTTTGTTTGTCGTATGGTTCCAATGCATTTGTCAGTTGTTGTTGAGTACATGTAAAATAAAAATACCAAAAAACATTTTAAAGGCAAACAATTTACAAAATCAAAACTAATTTGTTTATTTGCAAACTGAATTGTTATTACAACTTTTATTTCTACAAAAGGTAAAATGTCCAAAAGTCTTACCGTTTAATTAAATTAGTAGTTCACTTTCTCATACGAACATTTTACAATGATGTACAAACATGAGCAATGTTCACAAAATTGTGAAGGACATTTGTTGTGGTTCTTTATCAATTACTTTCTTATTAACTATAATATTAATGGCCTTTAATTAGACTATACTGATGACAATATGATTGACACATAACCTGTTTTAGCATTTTATTGGATATATAAATGTAAAACACACCTAATAATAATATTGAAATGTGGTCTTACACGAATTATTATATGCACATTACTATAAACATAAACATTGGTTTTGGATTTTGCTTTCAAAATGTGATCGGAAATGTTTGCGGCATTTGTAAACAACCTTTAATGTAAAAATATCAGTGACAGCTAGAAAAAATAATCTTGATCCGAACAGCTGTTCGTTATTTCATTGATGAACATTGGACATTGTGAGAAAACTTGACAAAAATCGCACGAAGTCGGGTTTTTAAACGTCCGTCGTTTTATATACAAAGTGGTGACGCCATATTTTAATGGCTAAAGACAATCTCGCCAATCCAGTGAATACATTAAAATTATTTGGATCTTGATAGGTACCCTAGTTTTTCAGGAGAAGGCCGCGTAAAATGGCTCTTGGGCCGTAACAGACACGAAGACAGACAGAAATTTAGATGAGACTTGTTTCGGTTTGTTTAATGTATAAAACGTAAAAATAACCTAAAAGTTTATGATTCTGAGCAATGTACAGACAAAACTCTAATTTTATTTATATATAGACTCGTTATTTTATAAGAAATTTTCAAGCAATGCACAGTTTCTGTATATTTCCTTGGACATCATTTGGCATAACTTTCTAGTTTGAATGAAGTTTTGAAAATTATATATTATCAGCTGGCTACCTCACCAACAAACGATATATGTAATTGAAATCAATTACATCTAAAAATCCAGTGATTATATTTATATCCGGGGTTAAATTATGTCTACTGAGTTTTATGAAGTCCTAATGAGAATTTTATAATTCCAGCTAAGCCAACCAACTTTATTCAAGCTTTATTTAACCAGATCATGTTTTTAAAGTGATTAACTGTCGTTATTATATTCTCTCAGGCCTATTTATATCTCATTTATAACTGTTAGTAAGGATACAACAATGATTTTTTTCTTTTTCTAAATTTCTTTTTCTAAATCCTTTTGACGTTTGTATGTCTTCCAATAAAGTATTAAGCATTAATTCATAAATGAAATAGCACTTTTAGTAATAAAATGTAAACATAGTAATAACACAGAAGATCAAATAGCCGAAGGCAGTTAAACATAGTTATTGGAACCGTAGAACCGTATTGCAGTATTTGCACTGCGAACCGCTTCTAAAGCTTTTCAACTAGAATGTTGAAACTATCCTTTGTATCTTTGAACAGTTATAATAAATAATTATCTCTAGACATAAAATCTCTTGAAACCCACTGCTATTAACCTTAACTATAAAGACAAAAACTGTAAAATATACCTGTTACCCACGGGCTTCACTCCGTTTGACTTCATAAGTATTAATAAAACTATTGATTTCGGTTAAGTTAAACTGAAATAAACAAATAATAATACATTAATACAAACAAATAACCACACCTGATTTTAATAAGGATATTAAATTGAAAGAATAACAAACAAATAAGTACAGCTGAGGTATTTTTAACATTAGGTATATAGAAAGTTCCCTGTAGAAAGGAATTACGACCTTAAAGGGAATTATGAAATAATGGATAGTTTTGGGAAAGTTTTCTCGTCATCACGAACATTTTTAGTATATGGTTTATGGGGGTGTGTTTTGTAGTTTTTTCAAAAGTTCATGGGTACTTTGGGATTCATATATGGATAGAGTTTTAAATGCTCCGCAAACATATTTTGAAGTAAACCCGATGAAAAAACTTAAACACATGACACACGAAATGAAATACACTAAGATACAAATAAAGATCCTTTCCAACGTTAAAGTTTTAGCCAGCGATTTTATTGAGAATGAACGTAGTTTAATTTTAGCCTCCAACCGTCTTAGTACCACTACTGTGCTAACAAACCCAGTACACGATAAAGTCGGACCGAAGATACTTGTTTTTGTTAAAATATTACTTATGCTAAATTATATATTACTTTTAAACTATATATTATTAGCTTTGTTTGCAAAAAATTGTCTTTATTGATGGATTCAAAATAACTGAAGCGGATGGATGGTCAAACTATGCATCTACCTGCATTGCAGCTGTGGCTAATGATATCTGTCGACTCATCTGTAACTGATGAATCCTGTAGTAGTGAAAATAATTGTATTTATAAAGGCTATCACTAATTAAACGTCTACATTCGCAATAGTTATACAGCAAGTAGACTTCTCATCCCATTGTAAATTTTGAAGCACGTTTTTCGTGTCTAGTTCATGTACGTGACACAAAGGCGCTAGTGTCGACGAAACTTTGTTTCTATTATTTTAGGGTTAATTTCTTGATTAGTGCTTTACTGTTTGGTTATATAACTAGGGGACAAGTTATTGTTTATGATTAGATCGTATTATTTGGCTAAACGAGGTTTTAAATGGCTGTAAAAACGGGAAACAAATTGTAAACAAAACACGACCTCTTACATAAACCGTACAGAACTAACAATAAAATTGTCTTCAGCTGTTCCATAAGGATGAGAAATCAGTATGTTTTATCTATGCCCACGGGCTTAAACATAAGGGAGTATGTTTGTATGTTTTATCTATGACAGCACTTAATACCAGAATTTATACACTGGTATTAGTTAGGCGAAATTGAAGAATCAGAAGTGAAGACCGCTGAATCTTCATGATTGTAGAAAGGGCACTGAGCCCGCGTTTTAACGAACGCACAATTTATTACTTGCTAATTTACAATTATTTGCATCATTAAATCAAATTGGGTAGCGTTAACAATATTTTACTAACGTTAAACGCTAAAAAGATCCTAAACAAGAGTAATAACTCAATGAAAGAACTGCGACGTTTGATTTAGTAGTAATTTTAGATACTTTTATATTCGCAATACAGTATTTATTCAAAAATATCAATGAATTGGATATCTCTTTAACGATGATTTCTCCTTTTCTTCGAATAAATATTTGTTATAGGCCCTTAATTTCTGTTTGTGTTTGGTGTATAACCTTAACTACACATCGTGTATACCATTAGAGAGGGTCCTGTAAAATACATATGCTCTAAAGCACTCCCATGTTGCTAACAGTATACTTTTAAATTTTTGACCTAGAATGAGTAATTTTAAGTTCAATTAAATGATCTCATCAATAGCATTCAAACTAGTTATTTCTTGTGTCTCAGAGAAAAGGGACATTGTTACTTTGTTAAAAGACGTGCTAGAAATGTCAATGCCAGAGAGATGGGTGGCGTTAGCTATTATTTTTATCTCTGAAAATACAGCCAATGACGTCATCCCTTGAGGGGTGTAGTTTATTGCCATTCACCTTTGCTGACTCAATAAGGAAGTTGACCAAATGAATTCAGGAAATGCAGAAATTGAATTCCACTGAATATAATATCAAGACATAACTTAAAGTTTGTATTTTCTTTTTTCGGTATAGTAAATTGTTTCAATGGGCCTATTGCGATCGTAGATGAATCGTTTTGATGATCTTGATTAAAATAGCAGTTTTGTATGTACATACATGTATAAGCCAACATAACCATTTATTCAGACATTAACTATTATATGAGTATAATTTTGTAGCCTTCTTGGGTAGGTCTGTCAATTATTTGCAGTGTTTTTATTAATCTAGGGTACATTTGTTGTGCATTTTGTTTATTTTACAAACGTACATTTTTCCCAAACACTGTATGATGAAAGAATTTATTTTTTTATGTTTGTTAAAGTAGAGGTTTCCTAGACGCCTCTCATAAACAATATAATATAATAACATTCCAGAAGGATTTCATATAAATTTCCAAAACGAATAAATCACCTAGTAACCAATCAGATAGAAAGCCTTAGGATAACGGGTGACATTAAGTCACATTAATTAAGATGAGTTTATATCTTTAAAACGAAAAGAGATATCACTACCAAATTTGTCATATCATTACTGGTAATAGTGAGCGAATGTTTAGTGTACATGGTGATTAGATGTCACCTATGGGCGACGGACCACGGGGAGTAAGCTGGAAATCTTAAAATGATAAGCAGGTTGATTATGTAACATCAAATTAAAGGTGTTGTTGAACTATATTTATTTTGAATATATATTCATTCAATAATATAATAATATATTATACAATAATATATTTATATTGAACCATATTTTGTGTTTTTACTGTTGCGAACCCAAATCACTATAATTAATCACATTTTCAACCATACTACTTTTCTCTTTCTCTTTGCCCAGAATTCTGTCCAATTGCATGATCAACGCAAGTTTCGCCTCCTTTACAAACACATCCTTCGCCACGTTCCGATGATCCTCCATATTGTTGGGTAGGACGTTGAACTCTGTAAGTCCCAGAGTCTTCATACCCACGAGGTATTGACTGTGTGAAATAGTCCCCTCTAGCAGAGGGTCTAGGGCAACATATACGCTGTGTATATGACTATCCTCAAATACTAAGGGAGGATCCGCAGCCTCATCACGGTAGCGGATACATCTGTCCAACAAGGAGACGAGAAAAGACACAGGGTCTTCAGGAGAGTGCGCCAAAAGATGTGTCATCATGAAATTAAACAACTGGAACACTTTGTATTCAAGAAGATACTCAAGGGTTTTCAACTTTGTTCCGTCACTCAAAGACATCTCCCGCCATATCGGATGGTACCCGAAGAACTTTTCTTTCTCTTGTTCACGTTCCAGTTGCTCCAAGAGGACCGGAGTGCTGTCCACGGTCGAAGGTGTTTGAAGGGAACTGGACGAAGAGGAAGATTCATTATTTGAGCTGATGGAGACGTCGCTGTAGGACTTGGCGTCGGCGTAGGCTATGGTGATGGTTCTCGTTCTTGTACGATCGGTTTTGCCTCGAGTCTCGATGGAACTGCTACTGGATATGTTGAACATTTAGTAGATTTTCAACTTCGCGATTCAGTGTTGATTTATTCGCTTAGGACTAAGAGTAGTATTTATTTAGTTTTGAATTTCAACAGCTGTTATTTTTTCAGAGAATATCCCAATAGATTGAAATATTTACCATATGTCACGAATACATTTCTGGATTTCAGCTCTGAAATTTAGATATTATTTTTGTACCAGTTCACCTTACCGAGTTTTAGAGGAAAATTATGTTACGAAAATATTTGTTTCAAATATGTCTCGATAGTTATATTATTGAAATTTAAATTAAAGCAGTATACTGAAAACTTAATACTAAAGTTAATCCCATATAGAAAGGAATATTCGCTTTGCAGGAAGTAAACAGTTAAACGATGTATAACTAACTAGATTTAGTTTCAACCATCATTGGTTTTATATAATTTCCATTTGAGTTGCTCATAAATTTGGTAATAATTCACTCCGTTTAGGTTTCCATTGTTTAAATGATCTTTGGAAATAAGGCATTTTGTGTTAGAATTAAGAAGTTTTGTGTTTAGGTAATGACGTACACCCTTAACCTTCAACAATTATTGTTTTTAGCCTTAACTTTATATTTTTTTCTAAGCCATCTGTCAACACTATCCACACTATTATTGTTTGTTAAATTAATAATTGATGTTATTCGGTTACACGAATATTGGTAGGAAGTCCAAGAAGTGCATGTAATGATATCAGGACAATCGGTTTGTGACCTTTTTCAAAATGAACTCATTGTGACGTAACCGTAACATATTCATAGCGCCGCCTTGTCCGCGATTCACACGAGATCGCGTGGTGTATGGTGACGGCTGGTCACGCTACACAGTGTCGCCTTCAGTAGAGACTTTATAACACGGTTCTACATGTTAGGGGAACTTTATAATACAGTTCTATATGTAAGGGGACTTTTATAACGTGGTTCTATATGTAAAGGAACTTTTATAACACGGTTCTACATGTTAGGAGACTTTTATAACACGGTTCTACATGTGAAGGGACTTATAAACACGGTTCTACATGTTAGGGGACTTTTATAACACGGTTCTACATGTTAGGGGAACTTTATAATGCAGTTCTACATGTGAAGGGGACTTTTATAACGTGGTTCTACATGTGAAGGGGGCTTATATAACGTGGTTCTACATGTAAGGGGACTTTTATAACACGGTTCTACATGTGAAGGGACTTATAAACACGGTTCTACATGTTAGGGAACCTTTATAACACGGTTCTACATGTGAAGGGGACTTTTATAACGTGGTTATACATGTAGGGGACTTTTATAACACGGTTCTACATGTGAAGGGACTTATAAACACGGTTCTACATGTTAGGGGACTTTTATAACACGGTTCTTTATGTAAGGGGACTTTTATAACACTGTTCTACATATGAAGGGGACTTTTATAACGTGGTTATACATGTACGGGACTTTTATAACACGGTTCTACATGTGAGCGAACTTTTATAACACGGTACTACATGTGAAGGGACTTTTATAACACGGTTCTTTATGTAAGGGGACTTTTATAACACTGTTCTACATGTTAGGGGGCTGTTGTTATAACACAGTTCTACATGTTAGGGAACTTTTAAAACACGGCTCTACACGTGAGGGGACTTTTATAAAACGGATTTGCATGTAAGGAAACTATTTTTTCTACAAGTGACTTTTACAGCACGGTTGTACATCTGAGTGAATTTTTATGACTCGTTTCTAAATGTAAGGGGTTTTTATGAAGTGGTTCTACATGTGAGGGGACTTTTATAATACAGTTCTATATGTAAGCCGGTTTTATTACGATAGTTCTTCATATAAAGGAACTTGTATGGAATGGCTACTCTTTAGGGAATTTCCCAGTGTGGTTGTCTGTGTAATTGTATTCCAGTAATATCTAATCACAACAAATTATCCCAGTTATTTTACGAAAAAAAACAATGTCACTTAAATTTCATCTAGGATAGAAATTTTTTCAAGATAGCCTTAACACATACCTTATCTTACTAATTAGGTTAAGCATAGTTTTGTCAATGTTCACACGCTGTATACTTACTTGGTAGGCTTCTTAAGACGCTTACAGGATCGATAAAGAAAGCAGCGTCTATTGTTTATTATTAGCTTTTATGCAAAAGTTTGGATAGTCTGAAATATATAAATGCTTAAATAAACCTAAAATAATTATACTATTAATATTAGATGGTCATGGCTTATTATGATATACCGATTTATGATAACGATTAATGTGATAATAAGATATGTGAGATTTGTGATTTGAACTTAGTTTTTCTTTGATGATATATTGTGTTTTAGTTTTGTTCCAGTGTTAAGCTAATTCCAATAAACAGCTTTTAGAATGCCCTAGTTGAAGTGATAAATGAATATTACACAGTTTAATACAATAATAATACACTTACTTGGTAATTAATGCAAGTATACTTCTATTCTATTATAAACCCAACATTTTTTCTGTATGTCTCAAAGCTAGTTACGATTGAGTAGGCTTATGTGTTTTTTTAGAAATCAAGAGCTGAGTAGGCCCTACATATGTACTTACATATTATTTATTCCTCAAACAAATTTAACAGTTTGAGACATCACTTGTAAATTATTATTTGCTTTCTTGGTTAAAAATATTTTGATCATTTGGCTTTTCGTCAGTTCAACGTCTCTTACATAAACTGCTTAAAAAATTTAAAGAGAGAACTTCAAAAGTTAATTTTAATTACGTATAGCGACAGAGCATTAAATTTGATCATTTTTAATGTTAACATTGAACACCATTTTAAGTAAGAAAATCTGTTTCGCATACATCTAGCTCAGAACGGCCACATTAGCAAAACGATATATCATGTGTCCCTAGCAAGCTAACCCGGGATCATCAATATACCATGACAGTAATTGGGGGTTTCTGACATTGACGAGGGGGCAGGGTTAAGGGGGGGAGGGGGGGTCGGATGGAAATGCAAGTGATTGGAACTGACCGAGCTGCAAGCTCTGGACATCAATGGTTAGATTAGACTGATATCATTGGAGCAAACAACAATCAATAATAATAGGAAATACAATGTAGGCTACTTAGGTACAATAAATAAATTAAAAACTTAAAGGGTACTAAATGTGTAATTATTTAATTCATTTATTAATACTTAGGTACAAAGAAGCTACACGCGTAAAATGTAAGAGCATTATATCCCAATGCATGTGTGGGTATGTGTTGTATTTATATACAGGGTGGTCTGGACCTAGTGTTAAAAATTGTTTCGGGTGGTAGAGCAACACAAGTGTGACTCAAATCCACAATTTAAAAAAATATATTCCATACACCCACTTGCAGAAACATTATTTAGATTTTTTTAGAAAAACCTGTACATTTACACAAAATTATAAAATTTCTCTAGTATTTTCATACATTTTTATAACTTTGACACCACCATCATATTCTCCATTAAATTCTATGTAAGAATATACAGCCTTTGGTGAGCCCTAAGCTTCAGAATTGCTATTTAAATTGATTAGAACTAAGACATTTTGATTTAAAAAAAAGGTAAATAATAAGCCTACAGACACTTTTTTTAAGAAAAATACTAGAGATTAGCAAATTGCTACAAAAACTGCTCTAAAATCTTAGCTTTTAAAAGATATGATGAGGTATTTAATTTGCTTCATTCTAAGTACAGCTATTCCAGTTATAACTGTGGAAAACATGGTTTAAGGAAAACAAAACCACACTTTAACAAACCAAAAAGACACACATGATAGTTTTTATTTTTATAGAAACAGCATGAGGCTGCAGCAAAATTTGTATCTAGACAAGTCCTAAACAAGTTCCAAGTATTAGATTGATAACCAAACTAAAATGCAAGTTCATTTTAATATATTTTCGAAATGTTCTCCATCCTCTCTGATGCAGGCTCTAGCTCTCTTCCGCAAAGAAATCCATGGGATTCAGATCAGGAGATCTTGCGGGCCAGGGCACCGGTCCTCCTCGGCCTATCCACATGGGATAGTTAGCACTCAGTCAATCTCGAATGTCATTCGTAAAATGAGGAGGTGCTCCGTCTTGTTGATAAATGATATCTTGACGGAGCACAGGATCAATTACATTCAAAATTTGAGGAAGATCGTGTTGCAAAAATTCAAGGTACATCTCTCCACTCAAACTTCCCTAAAAAATATGGGGACCTAAAAAGCAATCACCAATCACAGCTGCCCAAACGTTTATAGTAAATCTTTTTTGAAAGGAGTATTGAGGAGAGCATGGTGCTAGAGTAGATTTCTGTCGCTACCTCCTGAATTCTGACATTAAACAATACGACTTTTTCAAAAAGATTTTGTGCACAGATGAAGCTCTTTTTACAAAACAAGGTGTATTCAATTCCAGTGCCCTGGCCCGCTAGATCTCCTGATCTGAACCCCATGGATTTCATTTCGAAAGAGAGCTAGAGCCTGCATCAGAGAGAATGGAGGACATTTTGAAAATAAATTAAAATGAACTTGCATTTTAGTTCGGTTATCAATCAAATACTTGGAATTCGTTTTGAACTTGTCTAGATACAAATATTGTTGCAGCCTCATGCTGTTTCTATAAAAATAAAAACTATCATGTGTGTCTTTTTGGTTTGTTAAAGTGTGGTTTTGTTTTCCTTAAACCATGTTTTCCACAGTTATAACTGGAATAGCTGTACTTAGAATGAAGCAAATTAAATACCTCATCATATCTTTTAAAAGCTAAGATTTTAGAGCAGTTTTTGTAGCAATTTGCTAATCTCTAGTATTTTTCTTAAAAAAAGTGTCTGTAGGCTTATTATTTACCTTTTTTTTTAAATCAAAATGTCTTAGTTCTAATCAATTTAAATAGCAATTCTGAAGCTTAGGGCTCACCAAAGGCTGTATATTCTTACATAGAATTTAATGGAGAATATGATGGTGGTGTCAATGTTATAAAAATGTATGAAAATACTAGAGAAATTTTATAATTTTGTGTAAATGTACAGGTTTTTCTAAAAAAATCTAAATAATGTTTCTGCAAGTGGGTGTATGGAATATATTTTTTTAA